AACTTCTGGGTACCTCAGCGACCACCTATAGAAAACATAAAAATATGGAAATGAAAACATGTATTATTACATTGTGGACACCTGCAACAAAATGCATAATTATTTTTTTTTTAAGTTACAAAAAACAAAAACAAAATTATGCGTCGATAAAATTTTTCAATTCTTTTAACAAAAACAAGAGAAAGAGGAATCTTGCAAAACGTACATTCCTTAAACTATTTCACAACCAAATGAAAGTAATTCCCAACTACAATGTGTTTCAAAAGGATGACAGTTTACATAGAATTACACAAATAGAAAACTGAATATGCATGTGATCAATCGACATGTGGTAGTCAATTAACTGCTGTTGAGACAGACAAACAAAACACACAAACTTGGCATATAAACACAGCTAAGTACACCGGAAATAACTAGCTATCAATTATAGTTTAATAATGTAAAAACTGAAACATTCACCAGCTGTCAACTGCAGTGAAGAGTTCTAGCTGTTTGACCACTTCTGGACTGTGGTCATGTTCCATCTGATCAACAACAGCTGTAGGTATTGTTTTAAAGCTGTTTGACCACTTCTGGACTGTGGTCATGTTCCATCTGGTCAACAACAGCTGTAGGTATTGTTTTAAAGCTGTTTGATCACTTCTGGACTGTGGTCTTCTTCCATCTGATCAACAACAGCTGTAGGTATTGTTTTAAAGCTGTTTGACCACTTCTGGACTGTGGTCTTGTTCCATCTGGTCAACAACAGCTGTAGGTATTGTTTTAAAGCTGTTTGATCACTTCTGGACTGTGGTCTTCTTCCATCTGATCAACAACAGCTGTAGGTATTGTTTTAAAGCTGTTTGACCACTTCTGGACTGTGGTCTTGTTCCATCTGGTCAACAACAGCTGTAGGTATTGTTTTAAAGCTGTTTGATCACTTCTGGACTGTGGTCATGTTCCATCTGGTCAACAACAGCTGTAGGTATTGTTTTAAAGCTGTGTGACCACTTCTGGACTGTGGTCATGTTCCATCTGGTCAACAACAGCTGTAGGTATTGTTTTAAAGCTGTTTACAACAGATCTGCACTATTCTGTTAACAAATATCCAAAAAAATGTTTACAGATCTGGAGCTGAAACATGTGATAAACTAGTATTTACATACTGTTACCCTCCCTATATAAAGTCACTATATGTTTCTCTCATAAAAATAATGAAACCTTTCCCAGATGTAGAATTTATAGTCACAGCAAATTGAAATTTTAAAACACAATTATTAGTCGACTTGATGAGAATTCAACAAATCTTAACATAACATAAAAATATAAAATACTTGTTTATAGAACTGATGCTAAATTATCTTTCTTTCCTATTTGTCTTTAATAAAGTTCACTCCCATCTAGTAATAAATGAAACTATGAGAAACAAACAAATTGGGAACAAATATTAGAAGTCAAGATAAATGTACACATGTGGAAAGTGCAAGATAAACTTACCTGTGATCTCTGTCAGTGTATATGACTTCTTATTCCTTTTAATATCATATGCTTACAATTTCCTATGCTTATGCATATTAGTTTAATCTGGCCTATGTGATATCCTAGCACTTTTCACTTGGCTAATCATTTTATTACTTAATTTTGTTAGTATAAATTAATATAGTTATTTTGAAAATTAGTTTATTGGAAAACAATTAATTGCTTTTTGTATAACAATGCCAAGACTATAAATACATCAGATAAAAAGATGTTACAGTGTTAGTTTCACAGATGACAGTTTTAACATATGCCCACATAAAAACAAAATATAAATAAATAAGGTGGGTAGAAAACAGACTTGAAAAAAAAAAATGAACTGGACAACAGACAATAAGAATATCTAACAGTGAACTGATGATGATAACAAAACAATGAAGTATCTAGAAAATGAACAGACAATATTTGTTATATGCACCTTTTCAATTTGCAAAAGATCATGTTATTCATTGTTAAAGTCTTCAGATTTTCAGGATGTGAGAGGAGGACTGACTACACACAGGCAGATTGTTTCTGCCCAATACATACATTTTCCATTTGCTAATACTATATATATATTTATATATATATATATATATAGCCATGATTATGAATGAAATCAGATGTTGAGTGCCATGACCTTTTGCTGTGTCAAGATTAGGCAACCTCCTTAGAACAGATGCACCCTCAATGACATGCACAAAGAAGCAAATACACAGATGATGAATATAAAAGCATAAACTGAAACACACACACAACTAGACCCAATTAATTATAGATCTCCCTGCATATACTTACCACAGTATTATCAGTGCATTTAAAGAAAGTTAAAGGCTAAAGTTAAAAAATGTTTAGTTACGCCCATATTAGTTAAGTTTTTTCTATAACTTTTTAACTTTATTTTTTTCCTAGAAATTTCACCTAACCACATGTTAAGCCTTTGTTTTTTAAGCAGCTTTTTATTTGTTTTAAAATGTAGTCAACAGCCTACAAAATAATTAACAACAATATGTATATTTACATATTTAAAATTCTTTCTTGACATGTAATTTGTTATATGTTTTGTTTTCTCACTGCTTATTATGTAAATCTGATCTACAAACTGTTCAGTAATCACACACAAAATGTTTACTTGAAAGAAAAAAGGTAGTAAGCGTGCAACAGCAACTAACTGCAACTAGTCACCAAATTCATTTCAATGGGTGGAAATAGTAAAAAGGAAATCAAAAGAATTAATTAGCAAGTAAATGTACAGAAATATATTTTAAAATATTTCTAACATAAGCAAGACATGTAATGAACGCCCTAAATATGATTGTAGACACCTATACAGTGCACAGTTTTGATTTGCAGTGATTACCCATCTATTTAGTGTTACTGCTATATAGTTTGCTGATTCAATCACTTGATTTACTCTCAAACGTCCAACTATATTTACACAAGGAGATTCCACAGCTGCGGACTTGGTATGTGAAGAATGCACAACAAAAGGACAATATCATGCCTATGTCAAGGAAAACAACTGCTATCATTAACTACATTTATAATATCCATGTCAAGGTTGACTTGCTGGATTTCTTTGGTGGTTATTCAAATTTGTATGACAGAAATGTTATTAAAAAATAAAAAGCCAAGCAAAAATGGTCTTAAGAATGTATATGCCTTTCACAAAAACTAAGCAACATAAAACTGAATGAACGGCTTTCCATCCTTGCCTTTCCTGTCAGACAGGCCTGCGTGCCCAATTTGTAACCCTTTAAAAATAATAAAGTTTGTTCGTTCATACAATTTCCATGACTATAATTCTGAACACAATTTAACATCCACTTCACACGGCTGGGTCCATCTCAGAGGCTTCCGACAGAATGCCAGTGCTGCCTTGATAAATATACTGGCATTTTATTTGCTTTATTAATTTTTTTAATTTACTGCAGAAATGATGCAACTGATAAGTAAACAATGCATGTGCAGATGCAATGTGTACTGACTGGAAGTTTAATTTGTAAAGAAGAGATGACTGTTCTGCTTGTTATCATGCACTTACAATGATATTTGACAATAGTAGTCACAACAGTTGCCAAGATGATGAAAGTACACAAATCTACAGAAAGTGAGTAAGCTGGCCCTGTAGACAATGTATAAGGTACTGCAAGCATGCCAAGCATCAACCAGAGACAGGGCTATATGGATATATATATACTCCAGGTTAATATTAGTTTGTCACTTGTATTAATGGTTTCAACAAAAGTCAGCAAGAAAAAACATACACAGGATGCAGGAACTAAATACTGTTGTGTAGCATGAGGGGATAGAGAGATGAGCATGATCAGATGCATATCAAGGCAAGTCAATTAAACATTACAGTTTTCAAACATTATCATTTAAAAAGGAAAAAAATTATCAGCCTACATTTTGTACAGCATGATATGTAACACACAAACTGTTCTTACAAGCCTAAGCTCTATTTCTATATCATGTAGAGATGAAATATATTTCTTGATAAAAATTTTTATTTTTTTTTCAAGACATTATACTGTGTGAGAAAAATAGACTCCAAATTTCTACAAATTTAACATAAATCTATACTGAGTATTATGCCAAAAAAACTGGGATTTAATGGCAAATGTTTAAAATCATAAGTGAAAATTGCTATGCTTCTGGTGGCAGTAAAGTCTACAGTAAGACGCAAGCTAATCTGCCACAAAGCAACCCCCTCCCAAAATCACTTTAGTAACAAAAATGTAATAAGAACGCTTTCTTACCTGGCAACAGTAAATCACTTATCAGATTTTTGTGTTTTTAATTAAGACAGTCAATCACACGGCTTATAAAATGTTGCGAATGGCTACTAAGCCAGGATCGGCTGGTGTAATACAAAAATTATGGTTTATATGAACCAATTATACTCACTAAGTTGATCCATTGAAAAGGGACAGACAGGCTTAATCCTGAAATTTTCAGCCGAGAATCAGCCAGATTAAATATCATTATCATCATTTTGTAGTGACAGAAGAATCAAAAATGCATTTACCTTTCCTTTTTATCAGAGGGAAGGATAATCAAACATGTTATGGAAAAGTATCTAGCAGAAATGGGGGTTTTTGTAACACGTAATGGAAAACAACCATAAACATACACTTGAAATATACGTAAGGTTATCTGGACAACAAGTGATTTAAACTCTGAACACCATATGCTGGCTGACTGCCATAATGGTTCACAAACTCGGTGGCAAACTTCAGCTTCATTGCCAGTCCACAGCTTCCAGTCAAAGATGCCTTAAATAAATGTGAGCTAAAAAGCATCATGAGTGAACCTTGGCATCTGGTTACAGAATCGCTATCATCTTGAATGATTGTACTCACAAATTTGCATTTCAAATGTTTCTTACAAATATCAATGGTTCAGCAAACTCCACTAAACAATAGTTACTTAACTGAAAGAAGAATGCCTCTTGGACTTTCCCTTTAAAATATTGACATGACAAACTATCAATCACACACTACCTTTCTCTTTTGTGGCCATGTTAACTGTTGAAGCCAAGTCCCCTGTTTCACTGGATCTCATAGTCACACAGACATGCTGCAGCAGCAAACTTGTGGTACCCAACCAATGTAGCTGGAGATAAGTGCCCAAGAACGCACATGCCTTACTGAGCCCTTCGGTGTTGGGGTGCACCACACACTGAAACCATGAATAATGTTCACACTAGACTAAATGAATACAATTAAGCAAACATAATGTATAGAAAATAAATAAAGTACAGCCTTGTCTTCTGTTTCCCTTCATTCCCTAGTGGAGCATATGTCCTCAACCAGCTCAAGCCAAGTCATATAGATTTTGCTATCGCATACAGCTCACCCCATGTCCTGCTTATCTTTTTAACTCCAGCTCACCCCATGTCCTGCCTATCTTTTTAACTCCAGCTCACCCCATGTCCTCTCTATTTTTTTAACTCCAGCTCACCCCATGTCCTCTCTATCTTTTTAACTCCAGCTCACCCCATGTCCTCTCTATCTTTTTAACTCCAGCTCACCCCATGTCCTCTCTATCTTTTTAACTCCAGCTCACCCCATGTCCTCTCTATCTTTTTAACTCCAGCTCACCCCATGTCCTCTCTATCTTTTTAACTCCAGCTCACCCCATGTCCTCTCTATTTTTTTAACTCCAGCTCACCCCATGTCCTCTCTATCTTTTTAACTCCAGCTCACCCCATGTCCTCTCTATCTTTTTAACTCCAGCTCACCCCATGTCCTCTCTATCTTTTTAACTTCAGCTCACCCCAAGTACTGCTTATCTTTTTAACTCCAGCTCACCCCATGTCCTCTCTATCTTTTTAACTCCAGCTCACCCCAAGTACTGATTATCTTTTTAACTCCAGCTCACCCCATGTCCTCTCTATCTTTTTAACTCCAGCTCACCCCATGTCCTGCCTATCTTTTTAACTCCAGCTCACCCCATGTCCTCTCTATCTTTTTAACTCCAGCTCACCCCATGTCCTCTCTATCTTTTTAACTTCAGCTCACCCCATGTCCTGCCTATCTTTTTAACTCCAGCTCACCCCATGTCCTCTCTATCTTTTTAACTCCAGCTCACCCCATGTCCTCTCTATCTTTTTAACTCCAGCTCACCCCATGTCCTCTCTATCTTTTTAACTCCAGCTCACCCCATGTCCTCTCTATCTTTTTAACTCCAGCTCACCCCATGTCCTCTCTATCTTTTTAACTCCAGCTCACCCCATGTCCTCTCTATCTTTTTAACTTCAGCTCACCCCAAGTACTGCTTATCTTTTTAACTCCAGCTCACCCCATGTCCTCTCTATCTTTTTAACTCCAGCTCACCCCAAGTACTGATTATCTTTTTAACTCCAGCTCACCCCATGTCCTCTCTATCTTTTTAACTCCAGCTCACCCCATGTCCTGCCTATCTTTTTAACTCCAGCTCACCCCATGTCCTCTCTATCTTTTTAACTCCAGCTCACCCCATGTCCTCTCTATCTTTTTAACTCCAGCTCACCCCAAGTACTGCTCATCTTTTTAACTCCAGCTCACCCCATGTCCTCTCTATCTTTTTAACTCCAGCTCACCCCATGTCCTCTCTATCTTTTTAACTCCAGCTCACCCCATGTCCTCTCTATCTTTTTAACTCCAGCTCACCCCATGTCCTCTCTATCTTTTTAACTCCAGCTCACCCCATGTCCTGCCTATCTTTTTAACTCCAGCTCACCCCATGTCCTCTCTATCTTTTTAACTTCAGCTCACCCCATGTCCTCTCTATCTTTTTAACTTCAGCTCACCCCATGTCCTGCCTATCTTTTTAACTCCAGCTCACCCCATGTCCTCTCTATCTTTTTAACTCCAGCTCACCCCATGTCCTCTCTATCTTTTTAACTCCAGCTCACCCCATGTCCTGCCTATCTTTTTAACTCCAGCTCACCTCATGTCCTCTCTATCTTTTTAACTCCAGCTCACCTCATGTCCTCTCTATCTTTTTAACTTCAGCTCACCCCATGTCCTCTCTATCTTTTTAACTTCAGCTCACCCCATGTCCTCTCTATCTTTTTAACTCCAGCTCACCCCATGTCCTCTCTATCTTTTTAACTCCAGCTCACCCCATGTCCTATCTTTTTAACTCCAGCTCACCCCATGTCCTCTCTATCTTTTTAACTCCAGCTCACCCCTTGTCCTCTCTATCTTTTTAACTCCAGCTCACCCCATGTCCTCTCTATCTTTTTAACTCCAGCTCACCCCATGTCCTCTCTATCTTTTTAACTCCAGCTCACCCCATGTCCTCTCTATCTTTTTAACTTCAGCTCACCCCAAGTACTGCTTATCTTTTTAACTCCAGCTCACCCCATGTCCTCTCTATCTTTTTAACTCCAGCTCACCCCAAGTACTGCTTATCTTTTTAACTCCAGCTCACCCCATGTCCTCTCTATCTTTTTAACTCCAGCTCACCCCAAGTACTGATTATCTTTTTAACTCCAGCTCACCCCATGTCCTCTCTATCTTTTTAACTCCAGCTCACCCCATGTCCTGCCTATCTTTTTAACTCCAGCTCACCCCATGTCCTCTCTATCTTTTTAACTCCAGCTCACCCCATGTCCTCTCTATCTTTTTAACTTCAGCTCACCCCATGTCCTGCCTATCTTTTTAACTCCAGCTCACCCCATGTCCTCTCTATCTTTTTAACTCCAGCTCACCCCATGTCCTCTCTATCTTTTTAACTCCAGCTCACCCCATGTCCTCTCTATCTTTTTAACTCCAGCTCACCCCATGTCCTCTCTATCTTTTTAACTCCAGCTCACCCCATGTCCTCTCTATCTTTTTAACTCCAGCTCACCCCATGTCCTCTCTATCTTTTTAACTTCAGCTCACCCCAAGTACTGCTTATCTTTTTAACTCCAGCTCACCCCATGTCCTCTCTATCTTTTTAACTCCAGCTCACCCCAAGTACTGATTATCTTTTTAACTCCAGCTCACCCCATGTCCTCTCTATCTTTTTAACTCCAGCTCACCCCATGTCCTGCCTATCTTTTTAACTCCAGCTCACCCCATGTCCTCTCTATCTTTTTAACTCCAGCTCACCCCATGTCCTCTCTATCTTTTTAACTCCAGCTCACCCCAAGTACTGCTCATCTTTTTAACTCCAGCTCACCCCATGTCCTCTCTATCTTTTTAACTCCAGCTCACCCCATGTCCTCTCTATCTTTTTAACTCCAGCTCACCCCATGTCCTCTCTATCTTTTTAACTCCAGCTCACCCCATGTCCTCTCTATCTTTTTAACTCCAGCTCACCCCATGTCCTGCCTATCTTTTTAACTCCAGCTCACCCCATGTCCTCTCTATCTTTTTAACTTCAGCTCACCCCATGTCCTCTCTATCTTTTTAACTTCAGCTCACCCCATGTCCTGCCTATCTTTTTAACTCCAGCTCACCCCATGTCCTCTCTATCTTTTTAACTCCAGCTCACCCCATGTCCTCTCTATCTTTTTAACTCCAGCTCACCCAATGTCCTGCCTATCTTTTTAACTCCAGCTCACCCCATGTCCTCTCTATCCTTTTAACTCCAGCTCACCCCATGTCCTCTCTATCTTTTTAACTCCAGCTCACCCCAAGTAATGCTCATCTTTTTAACTCCAGCTCACCCCATGTTCTCTCTATCTTTTTAACTCCAGCTCACCCCATGTCCTCTCTATCTTTTTAACTCCAGCTCACCCCATGTCCTCTCTATCTTTTTAACTCCAGCTCACCCCATGTCCTCTCTATCTTTTTAACTCCAGCTCACCCCATGTCCTCTCTATCTTTTTAACTCCGGCTCACCCCAAGTACTGCTCTATCTTTTTAACTTCACTCTCTAGCTTCCTTCCGAATGTGTTTTTTGGTTCTACTTTTAAACTCTAGCTGAAGTTCTGGTTGTTTGTCCACTTCTAGGCTTTAGTCTTGTTCTAGAACTTGAGGCTTGTGTGCAATCCATCAACAGATCTGGCTTATTTGTAGCAGATTGCTGGTTTCTTGACTCTCAGGCAGATGGCCCGGCCCCCAACTTCAAAGAAAAGCCTGAATTAGTCGACTGGTACAACACGCTTGTTAGCAAGACAGCAGGTCAATTATTTTAGTATCTCCCTAAAATGGAACCCCTGAACCCACAGCAACTATTCGGCTAAATACCGAATAGTTATTCAGTCCACTATTCGGCCCCGAAACGAACATTCGGTATAGCCCTAGTTTTAAGCTCTCTCAGTGAACAACTTGTCATCACCCCTTCCCAAATCCACTACTGTCTGTTTCACCACCTACCTGTTTAGGTCAGTGTAGAAAGGGGGTCATAAGCCTGAAGATTTAGGGTCGCAAGGCTAGTGCTGTAGCCACAGACTGTTCAGGTAATTTGCCCCCCCCCCCCCACACACACACAGAGAAAAACTCTCATCCCCTAACTCAGGGTCAAACCCGAGTATCCCTCATGACAGCCCGATGTTGTAATTACTCGGCTAAAAACAACAATCACTACTTTTCTCTACTACTACCACTGCTGCTTCTATGAGCAGATTAATCTTTGGGGCAAGGCAAGGCAGTTACTGTGACTTCCCCGACATGGACAGTAGTAATGTCATTAATGTCAACTAAGATACACAGCTCAAAGAAGATCATGTCGAGGTTGGTGGATATTGGAGTGCATCAAGGGCAAGACCTGTCTGATTAATCACCACAGAAGGGGCATCTTTAGTGGTTTTGCGCTTATGAAGCTATCGAGGAAAAGATCTGAGAACTTGGGGATCTGTCCGGGATGCTGTGATGATAGTCCTTACTAATCAGCAATCTTTAAGCCCGGCTCGCTGGCATAGTTGGTTAAACCGGACTTCGTGGTGACCGGGTGATGAACTCCTTGTGGTCCGGGTTCACAAACGGGAGTAGGTAGAAAAACCACATTTCTCCCAGATTTACGGTACCTATCATGGAATCAAGGCTGAAGGGTTGCGATATCCATAGTACCGAGCCAAAGGGTTTACAACTCATGGTTTCGTAATACTTTTTAAACAAAATTTGTAATCTTTCATTCCTAGTCTT